GATTCAAAACTTAAAAGAATAGGCTCTTTTGAAGACAAAAATATTCACAAAAATATTCACAATTATGTTTAATGTTATTTTTTTATACAGATTCAAAACTTCAAAATCACTAATCATCCGTCAAAAGAACTTATTTTTCTCAACGAAAACGTCTTAAAATTTGAATCAGAATAGAATGTAGGATAAATTAAAATAATAATATCACTTGTATTAAAAAAAGTTTGAAGACTAAAAATTTGAAAAGTTATTAACTGCTACTGGTCAAAAACAGAAAGCTTTAAAACTTGACCAATACGAAACCGGAGTCCACGTTAGAAAAACTCTCCACGGCATCCCATCCTCCTCCGCCTTCACCGGTAACAATTTAACAGCCACCTCCTTCTCCCTCCACCGCCAAAATCCGTACCCTAGAGACTCTCTCTCACGCTCCATGGACGCGCGTCGCGTCTCCCGTACCGTGATCGACCCCAAGGTCCGCCAAGTCGGGTTCTTCACCCCCGTAGCCGAAGCCCCACCGTGTCGGACCCAGTCCGGCCCGGCAATCACAGCCCCTTCCCCTCTCTCCGAATCTCCGGCCAGCAACTCTCTCTCTCCCGTCATGATCCCCCCGTCGCGTCACCTCTCCGACACAGTCGTGATCCGTACGGCAGCCGTGCCGGTACCGGATTCGGCGTTGCGGCGCACGGAATCCGGCGACGTGCCGGTGGGCAGCTATAATCCCTTGGAGTCGTTGTTAGGGACCTCGCCGGTGTCAGCCTCGCCTTCGAGTCGCGTTGGGGATGGACTCGAGTTCTCCGATGAGTCCTCGGCCCGTTGGAATCGGCAGAGCGGCTCCGGAAAGATGGCCTCGAGCTTGCCCGGCGTAGGATTCGAATCCGCAGCATTGAAGACGGCTGCTGAAGTTCCTGGTAATTTAATTGCATTGAGAAATTGAATTGAAGTTATTGCATTGGGGCCAATTTGAAATTTTGAGTATTTGTACGAGTGCATTGTGTAGTTATATGCTGATATTTTCGTTAATTAGTTAAGTATTGCAAATGCAAAGTTTAAGTTGGTTATAGTGTTTGTGCTAATTAGTTAAAGCTTGCAATTCTGTGCAGAAAAGAGTGGAGAGGCGGTTGCCGAATCGCAGAAAGAACTTCCGGCAAATTCAAAACCTTTGACAGCCAAGACCACAAAAGCGGAAAGGCGTGCCTTGCAAGAGGCTCAACGCGCTGCAAAAGCCTGCTAGAGGTTTGAAAGTGATCCGTTTTTAATCGCGCAGTATTTTGGTTGTGTAGCTGCTATTGCCAGATTAATGCGTGTTCTAGACGAAAAATCAAGTCACTTACAAAAGATTTTTGTGAATCTAGACATGCCGTAATTTGTACCGTGGCTCGCACTCAATTTGACGTGTTAATGATTGCTCAATTTCAATTGACGACTTCTCAAAGGAGCGACTAAATTACTTGTTAATTGCATGCATACATGTTGTAAACATCATTTATTTGTTTTATATTTTAACAAAGATTATGTAAAATCGAGTCTAATTGTGTATTTAGTATGAAATACTGATCTGTTTCTTTACCTCTTTCAATTTGGTTTATTTGTATGTTTGGAGCTCCCCTCAATACCATCCATGTATTAACTGTTCTTATGGTTCCCCAACCTTGGAATATTACAGGTGAGGGTAAAAAACCTGCTGCTGTAACTGGAGGTGGCGCTACTGGTAAGGCAGCTAAGTCTGCAAAGCAGTCTGTGCAAAAGAAGGATACTTCTCAAGTTGCGCCTTCGGTGGCTGCTTCTGATAGAAAGGGGGGTGATCGACCACCAGATAAGGAAAGGAAGAAAGATGTTCCTCCTCCACGTATGCAGTTTGATGATAAGAGCCGAGTGGAGAAGGCAAAAAGGCGTGCAGTGGTCCATCAAACAGAAGCTAAAAACAGAGTTGAATTGTTCCGGCATTTGCCTCAATACGAGCGTGGAACTCAGCTTCCTGATCTTGAATCAAAGTTTTTCCAACTTGATCCAATGCATCCTGCCATTTATAAGGTATTTCCTTTTAGGAAACTAGTTATTGCTGGCTCATCGTTTGTGCTTATGCAGTCGGGCTTTTGTTGCAAAAATTCAAAATAGTCATTCAAACTGTGACTTTTCAATTTATGATTAAATGGAACTTTTCCTAATAAGGTCAACAGAAGTAAGCTATCACGTACGTTTTGAATAAATTTTGTTGTCAAACTTTTGTTAAGAAATAAAACGCGTCACAAAGCTTTCAATGTATGTTTTTTTCATTTACATGTTGCCTCTGTGCACACACTTTTTTCAAAGCATTTCGTACAAGTATGAGCACATCTAGACAGTCCTAGATGCGTTTGAAAGAGTTCCAGTATTTATCTCGTTTCAAGGGTAAAGATCTTTCTACTAGTGAACATTTGATAACATTTACCTGAATGTTTCAAAACTAAAAGGAGTGGATGAATGTATCATTATACATTATCATCTGCATGGCTAATAACGTTGATGCAATTATGGACATTTGTCAGGTTGGACTGAAGTATTTGGCTGGAGAAGTATCAGGGGGTAATGCTCGTTGTATTGCAATGCTCCAAGCATTTCAAGAAGCCATTAGAGACTACTCAACACCGCCAAAGAAATTTCTTGTCAGAGATTTAACTGCAAAACTCAGTAGTTATGTCTCATTTTTCACTGAATGCAGGCCACTTTCGATCAGCATGGGAAATGCAGTAAGGTTTCTGAAGAGTCGTATTGCCAAGCTCCCCTTAAATCTTTCCGAGTCTGACGCAAAATCTACACTTTGTTCAGAAATTGACCGTTTTATAAATGAAAAGATAATACTTGCTGATAAGGTGATAGTCGGGCATGCTTCTACAAAGGTTAGGGACGGAGATGTTCTTCTCACGTACGGATCATCATGTGTTGTTGAGATGATTCTGCTATATGCCCATGAACTCGGAAAAAAGTTTCGTGTTGTGGTAGTAGACTCCCGTCCAAAGCTTGAAGGCCAAGCCTTACTTCGTAGGCTGGTCGCAAAGGGCCTGAGTTGTACATATACTCATATAAACGCCGTGTCTTATATCATGCATGAAGTAACGCGAGTGTTTTTGGGAGCCGCCTCAGTATTATCTAATGGAACTGTATATTCGAGAGTGGGAACTGCATGTGTTGCTATGGTTGCTCATGCATTTTGTGTTCCAGTCTTGATCTGCTGTGAAGCTTATAAGTTTCACGAAAGGGTACAGCTTGATTCAATTTGCTCTAACGAACTAGGTACGTTGGTTCTCATACGCGGCCCTGAGCTTTTGTATTGATCTTGTTTCTTTGATTTGCTTAACTTCATTTTCTTTTTTCCCTGAAAGTGATTAAGTAGCATTGTCGTAATCCTTGCAGGTGATCCAAATGCTATTGCGAAGGTTTCTGGAAGAACGGATGTAAACTATCTAGATAATTGGGCGAACAAGGAAAATCTGCAACTTCTGAATTTAATGTAAGTTTTCATATTGTTCACCGTACAAAACAACATTAGTTGGAATGATTCTTAATACGCTTCTGGATGTGTAACAGGTATGATGCTACTCCGTCAGATTATATATCTATGATTGTCACAGATTACGGCATGGTAAGTCCTTTTTACGCTCCTACTTGAAACCGTGAAACAAGAAACTCAGTTATTATTCCTTTTGTAATCTCTCCTTTCTTTTCTTGTTAAGGATCCGTAAGAGTTTTCCTGACGATCAGTCTTCATCGTATTGTTTTTTGGTGTTACTGTAGATTCCACCCACAAGCGTGCCGGTCATTGTCCGCGAATATGGGAGAGAGCACTTGTGGTGATAGGGAACTCCGAAGTAGACTGACGACGGTGTATGAACAAAGTATTCACATGTCCTATGGCAGGATTGTCTTGCCGGCGCGAGAGAATAAAACTCGATTTTTTGAACATTTGATTGGGAGATTTTGCGAATCGAAACGTTAATGGTAAGCAAATGTTAAAGACATGATGGTAGCAGGAGGGTAATGAAGTTTTGTTGGTAAATACAACCCAGTGAAGAGTGCATTTTGCAGCCTCTCCTGACAGTTTTGGGGGTTTTGCTTTCTCGTATCATGTAATTCTTCATTTTTGTCTACAAATTTTCTATACAAATGTTTTTGGGAATATGTTATTTTCTTTTTAACCTGAATTTTTGGGATAATTTTAATTAATGAAAATTTCCTTGCGTATTGAGAGTAACTTGTATGGCAAGGTACACTGCCACACACGTCTTGTCAATAGTTTTATGGTGGAACCTCAACTCTTACTTTCTTCTTTAGATATTACAAAAAATTGGGGGATATCCATTCCTCTCCCTAGCTGTTTCTGGTTAAGAAGATGTGAAAGTGCCTCTATCTATATAAGAGTGCATCCTGAGCTGTGAAGTGGGAGAAGAAGGGATTTCATAATTGAATTGGGATTTTGAAATAAGACGGCCTTTCATTATAAATTTTATTTTCATATTGAAAAAGTAATAAGAGTAAGAGGTGTTAAGCTTTTCATCGTTCTTGCATCAAGCTTTTTTTTTCGCAGGACCTCCTGATAATATTACTTAGGCTTGGGGATATATATATAATTACCATAATTTCTTCCAAAAGAATTAATTGTTAGTAAATTTGGTAACCTCCCATTTGTGCTGTTTATCTTAAGCAAATGTCACATATATCTCATACAAAATTACAACAAAGGACTTAGTGGTCTAAACAAATTAATTTCTTGAGCACCCAAACTTAGAGCATGTCCACTCGTCGATAGAAAGCAAGGGCAAAGGCAACAATATTGTCTTCCAACAATACAAAAAAGCAAGGACAAGAGGTGGACCAACCACGGCCCGCCTTAAAGCTCGTTCTTCTCTAAGCCCGGCCTTGTGCCGAGGGCAAACTGATCTAAGCATGAACGTTGCAAACCAATACAAATGCATGTTTTATACCAGTAATGGAGGAAAATTAGAGGGCAAAATTGTTCATATAAGTAGAAATAAAACAAATTTTTACTCTTTCAAATCATCGGATTACATTTAGTATGTACCATAATTTTAAACTGTACATGAAATTGAGGTCTAACATACAACAAAGTATTTCAAATGCCTAAAGATGACAATTTCCCCCTTTTTAAGTGGGATTTGTAGTTGCCATGGCCAAGTTGACGGCATTCCAAGCCAATCATGTGTTGCCATGTGTTCCTGTCAATGTTTCTGTTTCCTCTTAGAGCCATGACTAGTATTATCAGCTGCAGCAGCACTTGTTGCCAATTCCATCGGATTTGGATCCTCTCCTGAACTAATGGAGAGGATCCTCCTGACCAGTTATCATGGGCCGTTGGATTTTTATCCAACGGCTACAAATAGGAGGGTCCCTTTAAAGTTATAATAATTATAGCCGTTGGATCTCATGATAACTGGTCAAGATGATCCTTTCCATTAGCTTAGGAGATGATCCAAATCCAATTCCATCAACCGCTCAAAATCCATTTCACTTGTTTTGTACTTCAATTTCATCCCACTCTGGAGCCATGACCTTATGCAAAGGAGAGTTTGCGTGCTGTCGCGCGGCATACAGAATCGTTGCTTGTAAATTTCGTCGCCTTTGCCACAGAACAGGTGCCACTGAAACCGCCTGCACAGCCAAGAAATCCAGAGCCATCAGAGAAAGCTGTGGATAGCGCATACTATTGACTTTCCACCACTCCAGAACATCAGTTGCTAGTGGAGCTGGAGGATCCGACAGACATTGAGTGAGCTCATCCGTTGCGCTGCTCATGCTTGCCCTTCGTTTCTTTCGTGCAATGTCCTCTGCAAACTAGACATTGCATCCCTCTTCCATTTCTTGAGCACTATATCCGCCAGCCACGGATGGGAAATGGCTGGTCGAATAGTTTCTGATGACATGAGCTCTCACTTCGTCAAGAAAATTATCGAGTTGAGGCTTTCGGGAAATAGCTCTCCTTTAATTCGAGGATCAAGAACCGCTGTCATGTATATGATTATGTTGCAGACCTGGTTATTGTAACCACTAACCTTTTCGGCCATTTCTTTAGCGGCATTTCTTAACGATTCTGGGTAAAGGTGAGAATCTCTGCAAGCAGCAATTGTTTCGGATATGTGATTTTGTAGAATGGTTCGAGATATCGATGCACCTGACTGACTGCATTCTTCTCTGCAGAACTCAGCAGCATCCTACTGTCTAGTGTCTCATACTTCCTGATAACAGCATCCATGGACTTCGAAGCCTGCATAAAAAATACATCGCGGTCACTTAATCCGCAATATAGTGTCGATCGAGAGAGAGAGCAATGTAACATCCTCATATCATACCTTGCACACAATATCTAGCATCTGACAATCGCCACTCCACCGCGTTGATGTATCAAGCGGCATTTTCCAACAAAAAGGCAAGGTATGTGACAGATATCGAGCATCATCTTTTGGAAAGACCAACTCTCGTCGATCCAATGACATGTGACGCTCATATAACAAAGTTCCTCATAGGAAGTCCAGAATTCAAGCGTGATAGAGACCTTCGAAGAAACATGTTCCAGCGACGATCTTACTACTTCCTGCATACTCCTGGTTTGTAATCCATTTGTGATGCTTTTGATTGAGATTGAGGTTGAGGTTTCCGGTATACAGTGGCGGGTTGTGGTGCAGGACTGGTGACAACATCGCCGGACGTATCATAACCGGGATGGCGATTACTTAGATGCCTTCCCAGATTACCTTCAACGACAAGGAAAAATGAACTACCACAAGCAACTACATTGAGGGGACAAAGAAGTTTACCAGTGGCAGTTGCAATGGAATAGCTTTGTCCACAAAACTTGCACCGGCGGCTTTTTTCGTCAGAAGCCGTCTCGAAAAACTTGAGATAAACCGATGTCATAGTCTTCTTTCTGGGTTTGGTTGAAGGGGTAGAATTTCCCCGGTCCGAGGAGACCAAACCGATATACACCGGCTCAACGATTGGAATCATCGCCATGTCCATCATTGATTTGGGTTCCACCTCTAATCCACCAAGAAACAAATCAAAACGACTTTTAATCTCGAATCGAAAAACGAAAAGAAAAACGTGAACTTTCATCTGATCCGGCAAGTGCTTTCAGCAATCAGCTCATGGCATTGCAATCCAACAACAAAATTTAACGAAAAATATGAGTTTGATTTGAACTTTTTTGAAATTCAGCTCAGAAACTCAATCCAACATATACAGAAAGAGAGAACCTTGGCAACAAAAGCCGAAATTTGGCGATTTGGGAAAGTACGTTTGAAGGTTTCCAAACCGCTGTTTGCTGCCCAGTTCAATCGATATGCTGCTTTTGCGCCTGCCCAACAAACCTGAAATTCAACAAATTGATCAAAGTTTAAGGCTTTTGGATGTGGGGCAGCTGCCCAAACAGTCCCTCACTCAGTGACTCGGTCAGTCACCTGGCTCTAAGTTAGCTTCAGCGTGTGCTAGAGCCCGAGGGACAGGCGAGGGGCCAGAGAACCTGAGCAATCAAGCCTAGTGTGTGCTGATGAGGGAGTCCGAGCAGGTTTGAGGAAGAGGCCCGGCACGAGTTGCCAACCCGAAGGCAATGTGACATGTGCTGACGTCGTCCTGACGTCAGCTACAATATAAAATAAATAAAAATATAAAATATTAATAAAAAAACACATAGCTTTTGGAATGGTGCGTAGGCACCATGTGAAAATAAGAAGAAAAAAAATAATAAAAAAAAAGTTTTGGAATGGTGCATCGGCACCATGTGAAAAAAACAAAGGTTTTGGAATGGTGTGCTGCACCATGTGAAAATTAAAAATTAAAAAAACAAAAATAATTTTTTTAATAGAAAGTGGTACAACGAGACCGATTAAAAATTATATCTAAAATTACAAATAAAATTATTTTGTATTATTTAAAAAAAATACTAATATTTTATTGCTTATTGCTAGGACTATTCAATGTAGGAATGAAGATGCAAAATGTAATTACTATTCATTAATGACAATTTTTATTCATTGTATAGACTAAATAGTGAATTGCCGGGAGGTCTTAGCAACGGTGGAATAGCTCTAAAAGAGAGAATCAGTCAGCAGCTTGAATCGAGGAGGTGACCAAAGAGAGAGGGAAAAAATGAAGGGAGATGGAAGTTGGAAGCGGATCGGCGTCAAGTGTGAGCCGGATCGCAGCCGAGCGAGGAGAGAGAGACAGTGAAGATTGTGGAGTTGTAGAGCCGCCAACGACGCCCGAACCGTAGATCTAAAATCTCAAAATTTTCGACGGCTTACAAAAGTAACCGCTCACTCGCTCACAGACTGAGTAGAGAGAGAGAGAGAGAGAGAGAGAGAGAATGATGAGGGCTCGGCAGCTTGGTTGCGGTGGGCTTGCGGCGGCTAACTTTTGAGTGAATTATATGGAATTGTTGAGCCCCAGGCGGCCAGGCCCAAGCTATATATATATATATATATATGTATCTATGGCTTCAGTTTCTGGCTCCACCAGCCCATTTTTCAAATTTAACGTTCACTTTTTCTCTATTTTTTTCCTTTGGAAAGGAATTAAATGTTCAATTTTTAATTTTTAATTATTTATTTGAACGATATTCTAGTCTAATCTAATAGGAAAGAGGGAAGTTCAAACTTAGGCTTATGTGAGGCACACCATTATAGTCGTTGGATCAGTCTTTTTGTAACTTGTTAATTTTATAATACTTATAAATCAACATCTTAAATTCAACTAACACCGGTTAGATAATCATGTATTCCTAATTTACCAGGACAAAACAGTTGTTGAATAGGAAGGAATAAATTGCCCATCATGATGACTTGATTGTTCAAAAGTTACCCATCATGTTTGAAAAGTATAATATAAAATACGTCAAATCGGATACAGATTTATGTGATCATAAGGTATTTGGAAGATAATTCTTACGTTAAAAAAACTCGGATTTAAAACATTTTGGTGTACTCCGTTAACAAATTTAGTTTAAAAATAAATTTTCCATTAATGGATAAAATTGTATCATGTCACTCTTCGTGCAAAAGACTCATTTTTTCCTGAATAGGGGGTGACGTAGGAAAATTACATCAGCTCCACGGTCTGCAGGATCGGAGAGACACCGCCCGCGGTGGTCTTTATTCATCAAAATCCAACCTTTTCAACTCTACCGGAATCCACAGGACAAATTTCTATGGTTTTGGTGGCAATTGGCGACAATTTCAGAGCTCTAAGATTGATTTCTAGGGATACAGGGATTAAATAATCCGGTTGGGTTGAATTTCGGATCCTTGCCTTGTGGCGGAGGAGGAGGGATTGGTTTATGCGTGCCATTCCGATGTCTGAGAAACCTGGCTTGAAGCAGGTTCTGGAGGACTCGGTAGCTGAGGCGGAGGGAGATCAATCGATTCGAGACTACATCGCCGAGCCGGTGAATCAGGTAATCGGAGAATTCTGGAATTGCAATTTGCTGAACGGTGCCGGTTCATTTTGATCGGGTGGTAAAGGTTTGTTTATCGGTTTTAATTGCAGGAATTAAGGTCAGCATGGCCGGTGGGGGAATCGGTAGCAGACGGTGATAAGCAGGTGGAGGAAGATAAAGGCAAAGTGACGGAGGATTCGGGGAAAGAGGAGTTTGTGGATTGCTCGGAGGATTACGCAATGGATGAGTTGGATCGCCTGCGGCTTTTGCTGGATACTACCGTTGACTGTAATTTTCTATGTCGAAGTACAATTTTATCCATGTATTAACAGATAGTTAATAGGAAAAATCATTTTAGGACTAAATTTGCTAATGAAGTACATCACAGAAATTAAAATCCAAATTTTTTTAGCACATGACTATCTTCCGAATACCTTATAATCCGATTTGACCTATAAAATATGATAGTACATTTTACCCTCACTTGTGCCAATGGTTCTCGACAAAAATACTACAATTATAATTTTTTTATACCACGTTTGTGCTACCATTTTAACAAAGACGCAATTCACATGTTTTGATGGACTCTACATAGCACGAAAAATGTAGTAAGTAGAGCATTACTCATAAATGTAGAAATGAATAAGTGCACGATGTTGTATACCAATAAGATTGAAAATAGAATATCTAAATATTTATGAAAATCAAATCTAAAGACTAAAACACTCGTACCATTAACTGATAAGTAACATTGGAGCCACACTTGATATATATTGATATATATCACTGAAATTAGGGAAGTGGATTTACCAAATACTTGAACTTGACTTAATGAGAGGCTAGCTTTAGGTACTACCGCGGGTTGCCCATGCAATGTAAATGAAGGGGATGTAGACAATAATTACAATCGTTATAATTACAAGAAAAATGACGTTAATAGATTTTATAAAACCCAGAAAATTTTGCTTCATAGATCATGTCAGCTGCAATTAAAACTAATTCGTTTGTAAATTTGTATATGTCGGTCGGTTGGTGGGGAAAAACTTACATGCACCTCTCGAGATCCCACTCTGACATCTCGACGAGTGCATGTAAGTCTCCATCATATCGAGAAAAAATTGCAAAATGGGACATTTTCTAGGTTGGAAAATCCATGCCATTTGAAATGAAATGTGTATTTGTGCTTCCTTTGAAGAACTATGTATTTCTCTTTCTCCTTGACTTCCTTGATTTCCAAAAGATTGCATAAGGGTTTGGGCAGATTCTGTATGGAACTTTTGGTTGAGGAACATCAGGGACACTGCAATATTATTCATATACAAAACAAAATATCCATTAATCGCTAATATCGGTCTTTCTACAATGTGGTTAACTACACTTTAAAATCGGCAATTGTAAAGTGAAGTCGATGCATCAACAATATCATGCTGACCACATATGTACGACATACAGTACCCGGGTTTTGAAAAGATGCAGTTAGCCGCATTGTAATTAACCACATTGTGTGTGTGTGTGTGAAGCAGGTAAAAAATTTAGGTTTGAAATATTCTTACCGTAATCCAGCAATGTCAATCTGTGAAAAGTCCATGTTGTTGGTTGAACTATCGAGGAGGGCTGGTGTGGCAGCTCCACTGGTATTACTACTACTTGTCCTCTTACTACTTAATGGTGATGAGGGAGGTGGTGGTTGCTTGATGGCCAGAACTCTGCAATTCAAGTTGTTTGCAACACTAGTACTGCCGTGGGACATTGCCAACCTACATATACACACCAATTATACCAAATTATAAATTAATCACTATCACCTCAATTATGATCCAACCTATTGTGTTTATAATATATTGTGCATGAAAATTGACAACTTTAATATGAAAGGAATTTGGATTAAACAATGTCGCTATGATAGTGAAGCATAGCAAGAAAGTCAAATCTAGCATGTATTATGTATCAAAAGAAATGTTAAGGGACTCTCTTAAAGTGAGGTTCTCTTTCATCTCACAGTTTAACGTAATTTCTGTGCCAATTTCAACTTTTGAGAGAGTCTCCTTAGCATTTCTCTATTTATCAATATATATAAGACGTGACTAGAACAATGTGTTCTTCCCTCTGCATATAACCTTGAATTCTCTTTTCAGTAGTTTAAAAGAATTTAGTATAAAAAAATGAAATGGATATAATGATTTAGAGTATTGTAAATACTTATATTTCATTTGAATGAACATTAATAATAATCATTCAAGAAATATTCCAAAAGTTATATTATTTGGGGCCATGTATCAGTTCAAATTAATAGGAAAGAATCATTTGTGAAGAACAAATAAAAGAAACATCCAAAAATTCTGATAGGGAAACTCAGGACCACATCTGCAATTGTAAATAATATGACTGAAAACTATCTAACAAGATTATTCAACCTCAAGGAGTTGTTGGATTCAATTCAAATTCCTCAAGAAATATTCTCATTAATTAACATTTGAAAACTTGGCATTATTTACTAATATACACTATCTGCCTAAAAGATGGACAAGTGGGTATGGTCTTTCTAAATTATTGTCCAATGATTCTTGATGAACCACGTATTCTGTCCAAAAGCCAAAAAGGCAATCTACAAAGAAAAACTAGATTTTTGTGTGTATATCTCTCTTCTTTTATTAATCTCGTTTACAGATGACATGAGAAGAAATATGCACAAAGTGATACATAACTCATCGCACCAGAAGAAATCTTTCTCCAATCTACACCAATTGTAGGAGAAGTTCTTTAATTAGTCGGCTATGGATAACACGTTACCCGTCCGATCACACACAGTTAAAAAAAAACAGCCACCTTAGTATAGGGTCCCACACGAATGTATGCAGGCTAGCTATTTTATTCCACCAGCATGCCACATGCATAGCAACATATTGGTCATACATGACTCAAATATTGAACCATATATGGTCCCATTCCAAACCCACTCCGGCCATGCTTGCTCTATCAGACGCCACATATTAAATAAGGCGTACAAGAAAAGAGTTGATGAGGTAATGAATAATTGGATACCCATGTCTGCCAGTTGACTCTTCTCTTCTGCAGGACCTTCATCTCCAATGGAGAAAAAATTGTGTATGGCACATGAACATAGGATGATTCTCACAGAAGCATGAAACGTTTCGTATTTTAAGTACACCGAATTCTACCTTAATCTCAGCTATCTTGAGAGCTATCTTATCAAAGTTTCTCTTCTTACAATGAAACTCACATTACCTATCTCTCAATTCCAAAATTAAATGCTTTAAATTATATCCATCAAGAACTTAATCCCATATCGTGATCATCACAATGATTAAAATCAAACACATAATTACATAGAGATTAAAAGCAATGTTCTAATTAAACCAATAATCTCAGCAAACTTACTTGTAGAGAAAGCTGTGATCATGGAGTCCAAGAACAAGAGCTGAAGCCCCAATCTCTCTGACCAAAGCTGCAATCTTCATCCCATCTTGATCACCTTCTGTGACAATCATTTCAACCTTGGTCTGTAAATCATCATCATATACACTGGTAATTTGAACATACATATATATAATCAGCAACATTAACTCACACATATATACAAATAAAAAAGGTTAATTAATACTAGAGAAAAACGATTAATGTAAGGTTAATATATAAAGGAAAATTGGTCGAAATGATCGTTTTTCAAATTCGAATTCCTGAAATGATCAGTTTTCAATACGTTGATCACCCGTATTATAACACACATAAAACACGTACGTTGGGGAAGGTGTTGCAGATTTCTTTGAAGGAGAGGGTCAACTGGTAGCCTTTCAAGCGGAGAAGCCTGGATTTGTTCTTGTTTCTGGATCTTGAGGTTGGAAAAACATGAACCAGAGTTACCCAGTCTCCAAACCTAACCAGGTTGTGGAGTGCCCATCGAAGAGCTGTTCTTGCTGCTTCCACTTCTTCAACTACTACCACTATTCTCCTCACATCCATTACCGCCACCCACCTGCTCTTCCCTCTCTCTCTCTCTCTCTCTCTCTCTCTCTCTCTCTCTCTCTCTCTCTCTCTAGAAATATATGCCAAAACTCTCCAAACACAGATCATTCATGAGCAGTATCTTTCTCAGCTTCTTTTAAATGAGTTTGGTATACACGTCAATCATCTTTCTTCCTTCACCACAATATTTAATTTGACAAAAAATATTACTATATTAGGGTATTGTACAACATTCCTCAGTTATTTTTGCGTGCACAAATTATAAGATGACATAAACAGATCGTTTAATCATATCTATTATTGATATTTATGCTATTTAGATAAATTTTCACATATTCTCAACAATTTATATTTAACATGACATAAATTATGATGGTTGACGAGTTAAAGGTCACAAATGTGGACCAATGTAATGCTTATTAATTTTCGATGTAATTGTCATGCGTTCATATTGTGTTAACAAAACATTTATATTCAAACACGTATGACTATTAATTAGTACGTACCATGCACAAATCGATAAAACATAACTATGTCACCACTTAATCATAATATATGCATTTGTACATTGCGTAATAGTTGTGACTTTCAATTCCAGTGATTTTCAAAATACGGGAAGTTTATGCATTAATTATTTTTTTTTGTCAAACGATAGATTTTGTTAGATTATATGTTAGATTAATCACCGATAAATGGGGGTAAGGCTAGCCGACATTCACCTCTCCCATACCCTGCGTAAAGCGGGAGCCTTGTGCACTGGGTACGATCTTTATATGTCAGATTAGTCACCGATGAAGTTCGAACTCACGTCTAGAGTTTATGCTTTCATGAGTAAAAGAATATTGTTAAACTCTCTATAAACAGATGCCAAATTAAATATTTATTTTCCAAGTTTAAAAATAAGTATATTATTTCAAGCCGCCTTACATATTCCCTTAACTATTTGACTGATTATTTTTCATGATTTGATGAGATTTTGGGTACTAACCTTGATTTGTTTTAGAAGTTTTAAACTGCATGGATCGTGCCAGTTAGTGCTTTTGGAATCTGAAACCTAGAAAATTGGCATCTTATTTTAAAATTAAAACAATTTTATCATTTAAACTTTCTTCCCCACATTAACCATGTCAAAACTATGCTCCACTTTTCCAGCAACATTTCAAAAATTAAATTAATGATTGAAAAACAGAAACTCGGATACGGGCAAAAAATATGTCAAGGGATAAAACAGAATTGACAAATTCCTTCGGATATTTGAAAATTTTAAAAAATTATTTGCCACCTAATTCACCTGTTATTTTATATAATTACATGACAAATAAGAACCCTAATCCCACATAATATGAATTATTTTATGGAAAAAGAATAATAAAAAGTGTTTTTCTAACGCACTTCATGGATGCTTAGCTACACAAAGTACAAATCAAAATAGTATCTCCCTCTGGCTGATACACCACTTACATTAAAAATTTATATAAATTGGAAATGAAGTCATGGGGGCTTCGTCGCATTGCTTTTCTAATCACAAAACGACGGGAAAAAGGGGTCGTATCATCAGTTGATTCTACTGTTCTGTCGCTGTGTTTTTGCATCGATCTCTTTGTTTTGGTTCTTCTGTTTTTGTGGTTCCAAGTGCACAAAGGTAGGGTAGTGAAAATTGCTTTCCTAAAATATGCATGAAATTCATAATCCTAGTTGCATCTTAGCAGACAGAAATGTGTATAAAAACAAAGAAAATGAAATCCATATCAGCAAACTGCCAAATCAGTTCATGTTTTGCATCTAATCATATTCAACTCGTTAATTTTCTTCATTTTCTCTTGACTTTCTGACTATATTGTTAATTAGGAGTTAATATTAGACTTAACAGTGTTAAGTTAAGAAACAGTCGTCAAAAATGTTAGGTAGTATGAAGAAATTGGGGACGGAAAAGCATTTTCATTTTATAAGTTTTATTTTTCACTAATTTCGTTCTTTGAATTTTTACGCCAACTATAATATTAACATCCGCCGTAGCAAACTTCAATTAAAATACCAGGTTCGACTACCGGCAGATAAACTTTCTGTACATGGTGGTAAATTTCTGTAGTCTTCAATATTGACGAAATTGTACCTACAAAACAAATAAACACATTTGATCAAGGGCGCCAAAGCCACGTGCCCACGAGGTGGGGGTTTGGTCAATGGATCTCCGATACCTAAGTCAATTTCTTTGAAAAGAGAGAGTTTAGGCTTAAGTGCGTACCGAAAGCTTAATTACCAGAAATTAGTGCATATGAGTTATTTACAAGGAGGTGGTCGGCCATAAGGGGTAGGGTTTTGCCCTACACATGGCGGCTTTCCAATTACCTAGGTGAGTCATCCGGAGTATGGATGAGGAAATAATAATCCCAAAAATATTAAATAACATCTTGGAATTATCTCTGAAGTATCTTTGATTGGAAAAGATTGTGATTCCTTCTTTGATAGAGTTGTCCTTCCATTTGGAGAGTATTAAAGATAGGATTTAGTAATGAGTCCTATTTTTAATGTCTTCCACTTTTCCTTCTTGTCATGGGGAAGAGAGCTTGATGAAGTTGTAGTCAGATGCTCAATACATTTCCACCACTGTGATAAAATCCCACTTGCAAAATAGATACAATTTTAGTTTCACGTATTTTGTTGAACAATTTAAAGGTTTCTTTTGGTGTCTAGAATTGACTTGAATTAAATAAAGGCTTTTTATCCAAAATGGTCTATGAGATTTGCATAACTCTTCATTTTGATCCTTGAGATTTGAAATCGATAGAATTTGTCCTTAAGTTTGTCCACAATCAATCATTTTGATCATTCCGTGAAAAATCTCCATTAAATAAGGATAAAATGACAAAAATACCCTTAATTTTTGTCAAATCATTTTGGCATATTGTTTATTAAATTGAGGGTAGTTTTATCATTTTAATATTTATTTAACATAACTATTCACGGAATGACCAAAATGATTGATGGTGAACAATCTCAAATACCACTTGTATTGATTTCAAATTTCAAGGACCAAACGGAAGAGTTATGCAAATCTCATGAACTATTTTGACTATAAAGCCTTGAATAAATTATTAGATTTAGTGAATGTTGGACGACAAACAAATTTACTTATTTTGTCAAAGGGAAGGTGAAATATAAATTAGTCATGAAATTGAAACTCAACTTTTTTTAATATCTACAAAGATGGTACAATTGCAAGCTAGCGATAATCCATGAGAAATTCATTGAATCTGATGAGGTATCAAATCTATATAAATCCTTAACACCAAATAAGGCAAGTGTTTTTGTTTCCCAAAAAAAAAAAAAAAAAGCAGGCATGTGTTTTTATAATTATCCTTTTATCTTCTTATCGATCTACATACTTTTTAGGCCAATGTCATATTACATGGTACATATTTGTCTTCACCAGTTACCAAGTAAAAGAAAATCGAAGGGATTACTCACGTACCACACCCTTGTATGTTATTTATTTTGGTCAAATTGCCCTAATAGTTCTTCTAGTTTATCTCGAGCCATAAGTTTTGCTTGCTATTTGGTAGCTAGACGTTTTTTTCTTTGTTTTCAATATTGATTTTTAACTTCAGTGCTAAAACCTTAGGGTAACGGCAATAATTACTTTTATGTTATAAATAATTTTTTTCTAGTAATGCTATAAATAATACTTTAAATGTTGGATAAGACCTCTTTTTATTTAAGGTGACGAAAAGAATAAACTTTTAAGTTTGACGCGGAGGATATAAAAAATTATTATATATGATAATACAAATAGGTGGTAAATATAGCAGTACTCGTAGAATATAAGATCCAGTTTGCTGTACTGTTGTGCTTATTTGTAAACTTACCAGAAGCTTAATTACCTAAAAGAAAATCCATACTACCATATACATATAAATATATCGAAAGCAAATCTTGCAAATTTGCAAAGCAATATGATTATGTGTGTACAGAAAGCCTTTGGAGAAAACAAGAAAAATAAAACTTAATTTCCGAATCCGAAACAAAAAAAATTTGTATGTACTTATCTGGAAATCATATATATATGAAATCATCTCCTTCTCCATTTCATTTTTCTTTAAATTTACCTGCTTGCTGCTGGTTCAAATTTATCTTCAACAATGGCCAAAACCCTAATCCCAAATATTTTTCTTGTGCTTGTAGTTTTGATCTCCCTGGGCACGAATGCCCTAAGTGACAAAGGAGTCGCAAGGTTTCCTCTATACCATAGAGAAAAGTTCATGGCATCACATTTCAAGGACCATCACTCCCTCGTCAAAGCTCGATTGGCCCGGGATAGGGCACGCTTCAAACTCCTTCATCAACGTCATCTCCAGCACTCGAATTCTGCTCCATTTCTACGCCCAAACGTCGATTTCAATGAGACCAACGTGTTCGAGGAAGGCGGGGAGTATGTGACCGTTTTGAAAGTGGGAAATCCACCACAAAAAGTGCAACTTCTTGTAGACATGGGCACACCCTTCACATGGTGGCAGTGCCAACCAGGGTGCACCCAATGCTACTCAACACCACACCATATTTTTGATACGAGCATGTCATCCACGTACACTCAGACTGATTGCTCTAATGGATCATGTGATGTACAGCAGCTCTACATACAAGGTTGTGTTCGTCGTGGTGAGCATCAGTGTCGTTTCAGCGTTCATTATGTAGATCGATCTGTCTCCGAAGGTATCATGGCCACAGATACCATATCTACCGATGAGGGTGTGCATCTCAGTAACAATTTCTCTTTCGGATGTGGAAGTCGTATTACAGGTACATATAATATATTAACTTTAACGCTCGGATTAGAAATGAAAAATAAACTATCGCATCATTTGGTGATTAAAAGTTAACATGATCGTTCCTTAGGTATAGACATGTTCAATGAGGCCGCGACTGGAATCATAGGCTTCGTACCGGGTGGATATTCATTTCCGACTCAACTCCAAGCTAACAATTTTACCTTCTTTCTGCCTTATTACAATACAACCGACGGTGGAACGTTGGACTTGAATTATTACGACGAATTCCGGTTTCGACATTCGAGTACAGCAATTCTGGACATCAGAATGGACCGTTATTATTTGTTGTTCAGTGGGATAGAAATGAACGAGGTAGCAATTCCAATTCCTCCTGAATTCTGGGAATTTGATTCCGATGGTGTTGGGGGTGTGACTATTGACACAGGGACTACAATCACCAAGTTTCCCGAGAAGGCCTATGACATATTCAAGGACTACTTCATCCGCAAGGCTCAGGGTTTGCCCCGAGCGCCCGGCGAAGATCAGTTAGACACTTGTTTTTATGTGAAAGGTCTCTACGAGTGGACTGACCTCGTTCCCAAGGTTAAATAGTTAGAGTCATCTATTTTTTTTAAGAGTTACACTTATTTTCAATTAGATTTCGAAACTGATCTTAACTCATTTACCGTTCTACAGGTTAAATTTTTGTTTAAGGTGAGGAATCCGCCGTTGAAGTTGGACGTTCGTCAGGTTGTCATGGCTGTGAGCCACGACAAGTACTGCCTTGCATTTGCCGCCGGTGGAAGAACCTCAATAATTGGAAGCTGGCAGCTTCAGGGGTCTTATATTGGATTTAAGCTTCCTAGTCATGTTCTAGGAATTCAACCTAGAAGTTCTTACTAATTTTAATTCATTCATATGTTGCTACCACATAAATGTCTTCGGTTTTACTTGATTTAAGTTACATAGTCTACTTAAGTCAATAGAACAAGTGTACGGTCTAGATTCAATCCATCTTTGTATGACTCACAGGTCTTAGATGATAGCCAAGTGTCATGCCATTAGTGATGACCTAGTATGAATGGCTTGGATTGGAAATTGTGTAATGTGTAAGAGAATCTTTTGATGTGAGGTCTGCAAGAGCATTTGTGCCGCATTCGTTTTACAATACACACAGAAATATCTGAAAATAGGAGTGAGCATTTGAAATCGAAAATCGAAACTGAAACACGAACTAAATCGGACTGCATGGAACGGTTTGGTTTTGCGGTTTCGAAACAGTTGCGGTTTTGAAACCGAACCCCAATGTAGGAAATAATTTGGTTTCAGTTTTAGCTTTTGAAAACCGTACCGAAACCGAACTGCACCGCAAATATTAATAAACATTTAATTAAATGTCCATATTAAATGTCATGTTTTAATTAGTTGTTTGTTAGAGTCCATACATTCAATATGAACTTTGTTGATGCACAAAACCGGAGGTCTTTAGTCAATGTAAATCCGACCGTGAATCTGCAAGTAATGTAAAGAACACAAGGATTTTATCGTGGTTCACCCCAATGTTTGGGCTATGTCCACACTGATTGTATTATATGAAGTGAGGGGGAGAGAGAGCTCTAGAAGTGAGAGCGTTGAAAAGGGTAAGGCTCCAGAAATGGCCTCTGAGAGTGAGAGTGAGGCCTCCCCCCAATTGTGAGGGTGAGGGGTCCTTTTATAGAATAAGGACTCCTCACTTATTACATATTTGCCCCTTCCTTTATCCCATAATTACATTTAAGTCCCCCTGAGTATTTGTACGAGATCTAAATACGAGGCCCTAAATATGGTATAAACAGTAGTCCCCCAAGTCTTCAGTCAAGAGAGTCTTTTGGCTGGAGACTTGAAATTCAGTCCATGTGTGGGCCGAAGTAACTAGATGTCGTCTAGAACTAATGCTTGATATGAGGCGGTGCCCAATCTGAAATGATGCTCAACTAGAAGTAGCACATGTTGCGAGGCCGCTCTGCTTGTAGCTTGTGTTGCCTTGGTTGGCTCGGCTTGTGGGCGTTTTGAAGGTGAGGGAGTCCCTTTATAGAATAAGGGTCTCTCCTCAATACATAAGTGATGAGTTAGAGTTGATGCTCGCAGTGAGACAGTTGCTCAGTAGGCGGCGATGCTCTAATGGTGGTGAGGGAGTCCCTTTTATAGAATAAGGGCTCGCTCCTCAATACATAAATCATGGGTGATCTTTCAATGAAAGTGAGGGAGTCCCTTTTATAGAATAAGGGTTCGCTCCTTAATACATAAATCATGGGCTAGAGTCCCCCAAGTATTTTTCATGAGGCCCAGTTGAGGCCCAATATATGGTACATAATGTAGTCCCCCAAGTCTTCGGTCAATAGAGTCTGTTGGCTGGAGACTTCAAATTGAATCCATGTATGGGCCGAAGTGGCGGTTGTTCGGAGGCGGTCTTTGTATACCTTGCACTGAAGCTCTGTATGTGAAGCTTTGTAGGTGAAGCTTTGCAAGTGAAGCTTTGAAGCTAGAGCTCTGTAAATGAAGCTTTTAAAGCTAGAGCTTTTGTAAATGAATCTTTTTGAAGCTAGAGCTCTGTAAATGAAGTCTTTGAAGCTAGAGCTCTTGTAAATGAAGTCTTTGAAGCTAGAGCTCTTGTAAATGAAGCTTTTGAAGCTAGAGCTCTTGTAAATGAAGCTTTTGAAGCTAGAGCTCTTGTGAATGAAGCTTTTGAAGCTAGAGCTCTTGTGAATGAAGCTTTTGAAGCTAGAGCTCTTGTGAATGAAGCTTTTGAAGCTAGAGCTCTTGTGAATGAAGCTTTTGAAGCTATAGCTCTTGTGAATGAAGCTTTTGAAGCTAGAGCTCTGTAAATGAAGTCTTTGAAGCTGATTTGACATGAATGATGCTCATGGATGTTTATGTTGATTGACATGAGTGATGCTCATGGATGTTGACATGAGTGATGCTCATGAATGTTGACATGAATGATGGTCATGAATGTTTATGTATGATTGTCATGAGTGATGCTCATGAATGTATGAATGACATGAGTAGTGCTCAAGTATAATTTGGAGTACTAGGCGTACTTTTGATGACCTGGTTGGTGCTATTTCAGGCCTATGGGCCTTTGCCCTCCACAACATGTCAGCCCATTTGTTTTGGGCTTTTCCTTGTTTTTTTTTTTTTTTTTTTTTTTTTTTTTTTTTTTTGACCCTCTGATGGGGTTTATACATATTACTCTCTGATAGGGTTTATACAGATGTCTGCGAAAAATAATAAATTACATCATTCAAAAATACTGTTGTAGAAGGTGAGTATGGTAAATGGTTGGATAATATGATGATATCTGCACAATTGAAGGTTGGGTAGTGGAATGGCAGATGGCTGCGAAGCTTTTGCTTTTACTTTTTCTTTTCCTTTATGCTTTTCCGTCCACGAGTCCCTCACAATTATCTCTGGTCTTCCGCAATTATACCTGTCCACCCATGTTCTTTGGCCACCATCTGACTTTAAGCTTTTAATTGCCATTGCTTTTTTTTTTTGCTTTTCTCTAGAATGACAGTTGCTTGGACAGACACCACCCATTTGCTTTTCTTTATCTCTCCACTCCTTCTCTGTCCTTGATCCGTAAGGCCAAGTGCTGTGTAATGCTGGCTCCTGCGCTGTCTCCACTCCTTCTTTGTTCTTGACAGCAACTTTAGTCCCGTCACTGAGAAGGAGCTTTCTTGCAGATGTTTCTAGAATCTCTCTACCAGGCGGTTTCTCTCTCGTTTTGTGTCGCACGCCTACTGGATTGTATTCCTGCACCGCGCGACAATCTGTTGTCAAACTACCGCACGCATCGAAACTGATCTATCAACCCCTCATTGACCGAAGCCGTCTTGGAGATCGAACCCGCCGCTGCAGCTTGAAGATTTAACCCATTGCTTCCCTCTACAACCACCATCGAAACTCGCGAGATCTGCTTTTCTTAGATCGCAGAAATACCAGAAATTGCTATCTGAAGCCGAGCCGCCTGTTGTTGCCTGAAATCGGATCTGCAAGAACCCAGGCGGAGGACTGTTGTTGCCGCGGCCACCGCTCCCTGTAGGAGCGCTGCCAGATGGAGTCGGAATATGCGACATTTTTGAGATAGTTGCAGGTCTAGACGAAGTTAGAGAGGTCCTGAAGGCTGAGGTAGCTAGCGCACTGAACCAGCAACTTCTCGTTTAGATCGACGATGGTTGTCGCCGGTGGAGACGGGCAAGTTTTCGCGTTTCGGAAGCAGGAGCTTCAATGGCAGAACATCACAACTGTATCGTAAATCCGGAAGGGCTAAGAACCTCTGTAAATGACGGTGAAGATGGTAGCTAATTGTCGCACATCACCCCTCAGCATAAAAATCACCGCGCCTACACCATCGACTGTCAGTATGAAGTTTGTCAAAACCATACTTCTTTCTGCTTCTTGCAAAACCGAAGAGAAGTTCGGGCGGTGAAATGGGAAACTTGGGGCTGCTCCTGGGCGGTGGCTTCGCTGGAAACGGAGACGGCGGTGCGAAAATGTGGTGGCGGCGAAGGTGTAGAGGGATTTTGAGAGAGAGAGAGAGAGAGAGAGAGAGACTAGAGTCTGTGTTTGTTCTGCTTACCCATTTCTGGGCTTCTAGAAAGAGAGATGGGACTAGGATTTTGGTTTGGTGTTTATGCAGATTCACGGTGAAGGTGAAAAAATGAAAGAGAACCGACATAATTTTTCGTGTCGATTCCCACAGACGGCGCCAAATGTTGATGCACAAAACCGGAGGTCTTTAGTCAATGTAAATCCGACCGTGAATCTGCAAGTAATGTAAAGAACACAAGGATTTTATCGTGGTTCACCCCAATGTTTGGGCTACGTCCACACTGATTGTATTATATTTCTCTGAGAAGTGAGGGGGAGAGAGAGCTCTAGAAGTGAGAGCGTTGAAAAGGGTAAGGCTCCAGAAATGGCCTCTGAGAGTGAGAGTGAGGCCTCCCCCCAATTGTGAGGGTGAGGGGTCCTTTTATAGAATAAGGACTCCTCACTTATTACATATTTGCCCCTTCCTTTATCCCATAATTACATTTAAGTCCCCTGAGTATTTGTACGAGATCTAAATACGAGGCCCTAAATATGGTATAAACAAACTTAACCACACTAGAATATAATCATTCATCAGTCTCTCTCTCAAAACTCTCTCAGAATATCAAATTAACTAGTAGAGTGAGAAGATTAATTCTCCTGATAATAGAATTCCAAATTCCACACATAAAGGATCTTAATTTCTGGTCTCTTCCCAGCTATATTTGGTCAGAGTAGACATATGTTCTCCAGGCTGCAACCCAAAATGTACGTACGTACGAGCACTACCAGAAGAGGAATTATGTAGCCAATTGGACAGAGAGGAAAATTTATTTAAACAACAAGGCTCATCACATCTCTAACATTATTTGAAACCGTTTGAAACCGTCTTATGCATAGATAGGTGTAAACTTTAAACTGTATGTTTTTCTTAAAAACCAAACCAAAACAATTTGAAACCGCACTGAAATCGAATCAAATGGTTTGGTTTCATTTCGGTTTTTTTTGTTTCAAAACCGCACCCAACCAAACCGTAAAAAGTTTTGGTTTCGGTTTCAATTTCACTCAAAACCGCATTGAATCGAACCGTACCCACCCCTATCTGAAAAGTTTTCCTCATTCCTTTATTTCTTCTTCAATTTCTTTGCAAATCCAGAAACTAAAAACATAACCAAACACTAAATTCCAAACATGGTATCTATAGCCTAAGGAATTGACATGTATTATGTAACATCTTGCACTTTCTTTTAGTCGACATGGAGAATGAACTAGTATGAGTAGAGGTGATGACGCTCTATTGCAGTGGCAAAAAATAATTATACTTATGCACC